GGGGGGAGGTCCGGTCATGGGGCCTGAACTCTGGGCCTGGGTGCTGTCCCTCAGCTCTTCAGCTCAAGGCTAGCACTCTACCACTTGAACCACAGCGCCACTTCCGGCTTTTTTTCCTTTTTGCTTATGTGGTGCTGAGGAATCGAACCCAGGGCCTCAAGCATGCAAGGCAAGCGCTCTACCACTGAGCCACCTTCCCAGCCCATGTCCTTGAGTTTCTTTTGCTCAAAGCTAGCACTCTACAACTTGAGCCACAGTGCCACTTCCAGTTTTTTCTGTTTATGTGGTACTGAGGAATCGAACCCAGGACTTCATTCATACTAAGCAAGCACTCTACCAGTGAGCCACATTCCTAGCCCCTTCTTTTATTTTTTGAGTCATTACTAGGACTTGAATTCAGGGCCTGGGCACTGTCCCTTAGCTCTTTTGCTTAGGACTGGCACTCTCCCATTTGAGTCACAACTCTACTTCTGGCCTTTTGTTAGTTAATTAGAAATAAGAGTCTCACAAGCTTTTTTCTGTGTAGGCTGTCTTTGAACCCGGTGTTTGAGGCTCTTATAATATTAAAATAAGCTGATACACAGATTTGTTTGATGCTGGGGATGGGGTGATTCCAGGAAATCAGGGCATAATTGGTCAGTTGTTTGTGTGTGCGCGCTAGGAATTGAACCCAAGGTCTCCTACATGCTAAGTGTAGGTTCTTCCTCTGTGCTATACCCCAAAACCCAATTGATTCATCCACCTTTGCATCCCTCTAGCCCTTTTCATCCCTTGAAACATAGTTTATTCAAACGTGAAATTCCACCTTTTAGGAAAAGCTCAATAAAAAGAAATGTAAAGCCCAGCACTGGTGGCAGCTCATACCTATAATCGTAGCTGCTCAGAAGGCTGCAATCTGAGAATCGCAGTTCAAATCCAGCCTCCAATTCACCACTGAAAAGCTGGAAATGGAGATGTGATTTGAGTGGTAGAGCTCTGGCCCTGAGTACAAAAGCTCAGGGACAGCACCCAGACCCTGAATTTAACTGCAAGGAAAAAGAATTAATGACTCTTTTGGGAGATTGATGTATAACTAATAAGAAAGTGAATGAAAAGTCCACCTCCCTTGGGGCCTTCCTTTCTTTCCTCAGAGGTAAGTACTACTATGAGTTTCTAGACTACCTTTTCAAAGACAGTTTTTGTATAGATATATGGCAACACACGAATAGCTCTTAAACCTAAGTATCAGCATGCTCTATACGTTCATTAATGTTTACAAAATGAATTCTGAGGAGTATCAATGATGGAATCCAATCCATAGACCATGCTCTGAGGAGTGTCCTGAGTTGTATATGTCTTCCTCCTCCTCTCTTCTCAATGCAGACATCGATGCCAGGCCATGGGACTTCCAAGCAGAAGAATGCACCTTGAGGGCCAACATTGAGGCTTTTAACAGTCGCCGCTATGACAAACCCCAGGACTCTGAATTCTCACCCGTGGATAATTGCTTGCAGAGTGTGCTAGGGCAGAGGTTAGATCTGCCTGAAGATTTCCACTATTCCTATGAGCTCTGGCTGGAGAGAGAGGTGTTTTCACAGCCCATCTGCTGGGAGGAGCTGCTCCAAAATCACTGACTAAGCTCTTTCAACAGATCCTCTGGTAGATGGAGGTTGGCTCCAATTAATGGTGCTCTGCCAATCTGCCCATCCAGCCTTTGCATCAGCTCTACAAGGGCATGTCAAGGGCAGATTTTGGCCCAGCCTGAGGCAGCCTGTATAGTCCTGGGCTATTAGAATAGCCCAGGGGTTGTTGAGCCTGAAAACGGTGCATGACTGTCAGGACAAACTGATCAACTTGCCCTAGGCCCTGTTGGCCTTGGAAACTTCAAGGGCAAGCTCCACAATGAGACCTGCTTAGTTTTTCCTAGAACCAGGCTAGCCTATGTTTTCCCCACGAGTAGGAAGAAATTTGTTCTGACATATGACCCTTGGCATTCATCACAAGCACTGAGACAGGTGTAGGTCATAAAACAGGAAGACATGTTTCTCTAGTTTCCCCTAAATTCCTATGACTTCAAAATAAGTCTGTATTTTACAGTCTAAATTTTGACACCTCTTAGTAAAATCCTCATCTTTAAGCTGGTTTTAAAGCACCTGCACCTTCTTTGTGAAGGATGATGATTTGCTATTCCCAGAATACTGCATGTTGCATAAAGTGTATTGTGGAGAGTTTTTCAATTTCCTGAGATCTGTGTTCAATATGAAAATGACTTCCTTGTGCACTGCACAGGGCATGGAGTGCTCACTGTTTGTAAAGAGCCACAACCAGTAGGAAATAGGCCTTCTCTAAGGGTGTTTCATGTTTTTCTGAAATTAGTTCAGTCTTAAGATGGCTGAGTGCACTGCAGAAAATTAGCCTTTCATCCAATTCTTTCTTAAATGACACGTTAACTACAGGAGGTTTTATTTATTGAGAAAGCTGGTCCATTTGTGCTGATTAGTTTTAATTGAAAAGAACAGTAAGAGCATCACAGCTCACCTCTGTTTTCTTCTCCAATGTTGGCTTTTTTAAAAAAACTGTTAGTGGTTTCAAATGTTTCACATAGAGGGAGATTGAGCAGTATTGTTTCTACCTAAAAGTATTACACATTAATTGAAAATATGAAGGTTGGTATAACAGCCTCTTTGTACTTTCACAGCAGAATCTTACACTTCCCAAAAATAAAAGTTTGAGAAAACTTTGTTTTGATTTGGATTTTTTGTTGTTGTTGTTGGTTGTGGGGCTTGAACTCTGGGCTTGGGCGCTATCCCTGAGCTCTTCAGCTCAAAGCAAGTGCTCTACCACTTGAGCCACAGCACCACTTCCAGTTTTCTAGTGGTTTATTGGAGATGAGTCTCACAGACTTTCCTGCCCTGGGTGGCTTTGAACCATGATCCTCAGATCTCAGCCTCCTGAGTAGCTAGGATTACAGGCGTGAGCCACTGGTACCCGGCTTGGTTTGGATTTTTTGTGTGTGTGTATGTGCCAGTTTTGGGGCTTGAACTGAGTGCCTGAGCACTGTTCCTGAGCTTTTTTGCTCAAGGCTACTACTATACTAGGTGAGCCATAGCTCCAGCTTTTTGGTAGTTAATTGGAGTCTCACTGGTCTGCCTCCAAACTATGATCCTCAGATCTAAGCCTTCTGAGCAGCTAGGATTACAGGCATGAGCTACCAGCACCCAGCTAGAAAAGGTTTTTTTTGTTTTTTGTTTTTTTTTATTGTCTGGATCCATTTATTTCTCATATCTATATCTTCAGGCCTTTTCTCTTTAAATGTTACTACTCCCCATAAACACTACTGAATCTTTTTTTTTTTTTTTTGGCCAGTCCTGGGGTTTGAACTCATGGTCTGGACATTGTCCCTGAGCTTCTTTTGCTTAATGTTAGCACTCTACCACTTGAGCCACAGCGCCACTTCCTGCTTTTTCTATGAATGTGGTACTGAGGAATCGAACCCAGGGCTTGCTTCATGCTAGGCAAGCACTCTACCACTAAGCCACATTCCCAGCCCCACTGAATCTTTTTTTTTTTTTGTCCAGTTGTGGGGCCTGAACTCTGGGCCTGGGCTCTATCCCTCGGCTCTTCAGCTCAAGGCTAGTGCTCTACCACTTGAACCACAGCGCCACTTCAGGTTTTTTTCTTCTTTGCTTATGTGGTGTTGAGGAATTGAACCCAGAGCCTCATGTACTCCCACCTCCACCCCCCCACTAAATCTTTTAAGAGGGCATCAGAACACTTTATGTCATAAGATCTTGTCCAAATTGGCTTAATCTGTGTCACCTACAGTTTCTTTTGGGGGTCAAGACAGAGTACCAGACAATATCCAAAGGAATTATACCGAATCTAAGTACCTCTTTGTGCTTTAGGGTAGCAGGATTTCTAACTTTCTCGAAAAGTCACAAAGACTTTTAAGTATTTAATAAATGAAGCTTCTTAAAATGATTTGTAAATTTTATCTAAGTAGGACAACTGTCCGTGAGTCTTACTCATCTAGGCTCCAGTTAGCATGATTTCAGTATGCTTTGAGTATAAAGACAATTTTCCAGGAAAGAGCTGTCACTCTATTTCTTTTAAAGCCATATAATATTCAATTTGTGTCAAAAACAACTAAGTTGCCTCTCTAAAAATATGCACATGAATTTGTTTTTGGAGGCACAGAAGTATGCTAAGCTTTAATATCTTCTACTTTATTATGTATTACTCTCTAAAGGAAGATGCTAAATGTAGGTGGAAAAACTGAAGTATGTAGATAAATGATTACTTTCACAACACATCGTATTTTTCACCGATTTGCCGAGACTGGCTTTGGGTATTGACAGCCAGCCCCATAGGTTAAGAAAACTGGGTTGGATCTCCCAATTGAATAACTTCAAATGAATTAACCTTTAATGGCAATTGTTTCTATATAGAAGAATGTTATTTGAATGACACATGAAATAGAAGATGTTTATTTGTGGATATTTCAGTAAAGTTTCTGTTGATTTTGGTAACACTGTTAATCTTATGAAGCACTTAATAAAAATAAGCTGGAAATAGAAATTTGGTCTTTAAATTCTTCAACACAAGCATATCTGAAGGTCATATAAAAGAAGGAAGTATATTACAATTAGGGGATTCACAACTCTGTGACTTAGGACTTAAAGTGTTCTAGGGGTCAGCGATAGCTCTGCTTGAGGTAGCCTGGCTTCCAAGATGGCTCTTTTCCACAAGTTTTCTTAATCTGGCACAAGGCTGATATAACAGCCCCTACGTAGAACTACTCTCTTCACAATGAAGGGCAGGAACAAAAAACCAAGCTGGGTTCCAGTGGTTCGTATCTATAATCCTAGCTTCTCCTAGCTGAAATCTGAAGATCTCAGTACAAAGCCAGTCCATGCAGGAAAATCTGAGACTCTTACAGTTAACTACCAAAAAGTCAGGAGTATAATTGTAGATCAAGTAGTAGAGCACCAGCCTTGATCAGAAAACCTAAGGGACAGCACCAAGCCCTGAGTTCAAGCCCTCGTACTAATACATACGCACGCGTGCGCGCGCGCACACACACACACACACACACACACGATAATGGTATAGGCAAACTATTCGTACTCCAAGCCTAGAGTACCATAGGCGGAGCAGAATAATACTCTTAATCATATGCTCATGGTCATGATTTTTCTTCCTTGTACATCCCCACCTAATGATGAAAAGTGGGGCTTTTGTTGTTGTTTGGTGAGGATCCTAGGGCCTGAACTCAGGGCCTGAGTGCTATTCTGAGCTTCTTTTGCTCAAGGTTAATGCTCTACCACTTGAGCCACAGGCTCCACTTCTAGATGGTTTTTCTTTTTTGAGTCCTTTATTGGAGATGAGTCTCATGGACTTTCCTGCCCAGGGCTGGCTTTGAGCAGTGAGCCTCAGATCTCAGCCTCCTGAGTACAAGTGTGAGCCACTGATGCCTAGCTCCTGAGCTTTTTTGTTTCATTCTATATTTTTGCTCAAGGCACTACTACTTGAGCCACAGCTCCACTTCTGGCTTTTTTGTTTTGTTTTTGCAAGTACTTAAACTCAGGGCCTGGACACTGTCCCTGAGCTTCTTTTGCTCAAGTACCCAGCACTACTTCTAGCTTTTTCTGGTTATGTGGTACTGAGGAATTGAACCCAGTAATTTATTCATGCTAGGCAAGCACTCTACCACTAAACCACATTCCCAGACCCACTTCTGGCTTTTTGGTATTTAATTGGAAATAAGAGTCTCAGGGACTTTCCTGCCAAGGCTTGCTTTGAACTGCGATCCTCAGACCTGTCTCCTGAGTCACTGAGATTATAGGCATGAACCACCAGCACCAGATTTATAGTTTTGTGGGGGTTTTTTTTGAGTCCCACTAAGCAAATGTTATGAGGTCTTGTTCTATAGATAGGAAAGGTCTTTAATTGGCCCTATAGAAGTGTCCTGTCATCAGTGTCCTATGGGGTTAGAAAAGAGCTTCTTTGTTCTTCAGAAATGGAAACAGTAGGATTACAAGTTCAAGGCCTGCCTGGCTACCTAAAATTTTGAAGTGAGCCTAGGACACATACTGAGACCTTATCTCAATAAGGGGGGAAGCTTCTTTCTCTTCTATTCTTGGCCACATTTTAAGACAATATTGGGAGCTGGGCATGAGAGAACATTCCTGTAATCCCAGCACTCAAGAAGCCAAACAGGAGGATCAAGAGTTCTAGATCAGGGGCTGGGAAGGTGGCTCAGTGGTAGAGCGCTTGCCTTGCATGCATGAGGCCCTGGGTTCAATTCCTCAGCACAACATAAGCAAAAAGAAAAAAGCCAGAAGTGGCGCTGTGGCTCAAGTGGTAGAGTGCTAGCCTTGAGCTGAAAAGCTGAGAGACAGCGCCCAGACCCAGAGTTCAGGCCCCATGACCGGACCGCCCCCCCCAAAAGAGTTCTAGATCAGGGCTGGGAAGGTGGCTTAGTGGTAAACTGCTTGCCTAGCATGCATGAAGCATGGGTTCAATTCCTCAGCACAACAGAAAAAGCCAGAAGTGGTGCTGTGGCTCAAGTGGTACAGTGCTAGCCTTAAGCAAAAATAGCTCAGGGACAGTCCAGGATTGGACACTGACAAGTCCCCAGGACTGGAAAAAAAAAAGAAAAAGTTGTAGGTTAGTGGGCCTGCACAACAAGACCCAGTCTGAATGAAAAAACCAAGACATTAGAAAACGTTTCTCCTGTGCTCTTGATGACTGAACCACTTTCTTAATCTGCTTTCTGCTTAAGGCCTGTTAGGTTCCAAGAATCATCTCGTATTTTGAACAGTTATTAACCTCTAGTTGGACTGCCAATATGGTAATACACTCTCAAAAGCTGTTAAAAATTCCAGCCGGGCTCCGGTGGCTCACGCCTCTAATCCTGGCTACTCCGGAGGCTGAGATCTGAGGATCATGGTTCAGAACCAGCCCAGGCAGGTAAGTGTGTGAGACCCTTATCTCCAATAAACCACCAGAAAACCAGAAGTGGCAGTGTGGCTCAAGTGATAGAGCACTCGCCTTGAACTAAAGAGCTTAGGGACAGCACCCAGGCCCAGAGTTCAAGCCCCATAAACAACAACAACAACAACAAAAAAAAACAAAATATAATTCCAGTCAACTCAGTCACCAGCAGTCACAGCCATGACTCTGCTGCCTCTCTTTGATGGTAAGTACTTTGAGTTTGTGATACTTCTGAAAAACCATTCCCTCTTTTCCTTGAGCCTTTTTCCCCACAGACAGAATTTCCCAAGGCTGCATAATTCAATCAGAGATCTTAGGAAAAAGCAGTAGTGGCTCATGCTTATAGTCCTAGCTACTCAGGAGGTAGGGAACTGAAGATCGCAGTTCAAAACCAGCCTGCACAGGAAAGTCCATGGGACTCATATCCAATTAACCACGTAAGAGCCAAAAGTAGAGCTGTGACTCAAGTGGTAAAGCACTAGCCTTGAGAAAAAAAGCTCAGACCCATCACCCAGGCTGTGAGTCTAAGCCCCAGGACCAACACACATGCATATACATGCGCGCACGCGCACACACACACACACACAATTAATTTGAAAAAAAATAAAAAGACTTTAAGTATTTTATAGGAAATAACCAAAGTCTTTCCAAAGAACTGCAAGATTACAAAGCCATCCCAACTCTGCTCAAGTGCCTTCAATGACAGTGACTTCCTTGCTAAATAAGACAGTGCCA